ACCTCCTGCTCGACCTCAACACGGCGATTCAGGAGATTGACTGTGGCTATGTGATGGAATTTGACCTCAACTTCACCTCCAACCGCCAGAGGAAGATGTTCATGAGAAATCCTCAGGCCTACTTGGTGAAGAAGGTCAGTGGCGCTGAAGTCTGCTACAGAAAGCTCAATGCGGAGGACCGCAAGCTCTTCGACAACGCCAAGGTTTCTGAAGTCAGCAGCTTCATCCGCTCAGAAGCTGTTCGACGCTGTCTCTCCGTCTCCGAGCAGAACAAGGCCGAGGATTCCCAACGGATCCTCAAAGCCAGATGGGTTCTGGTCTGGAAGCCCGTACCTGAAGAATCACGACAAGAAGCACTTGAAGCAGCCCAGAAGGAGAACACTACTTACTCTCCTGATGGCTCTCGCAAAGCAAAGGCGAGAATCGTGGTTCTTGGCTTCATGCACCCCGACCTCTTGGACCCTTCGTTCAACTCCACAGCACCAGTGCAAAGCCAGCTCATGCGCAACCTCTCACTGCGCATGGTGGCTCAACGAGGCTGGCAGCTTGAAGGTCTCGATATGCAAACAGCATTCCTCCAAACGGGCAAGACTGAAGAAGCCCGTGAGATTTGGACCTATGGTGTCCCAGAGCTCAAACAAGCTCTTGGTGCTGAAGAACATGAAGTTCTTCGAATCCTCAAGAACGTCTACGGCAACTCCACAGCACCTCGAGGACTCTGGGAAGATGTTGACCGCACCTTCACAAAGCTTGGTGGAAAGAGGATTTTGGGCGACTCATCATTTTGGGTCTGGACTCGCCCGAATCCCAATCCTCGAAATGAAGGTGACCAGTTCGAAACCATCGGATTTGTTGGCGGCCACGTCGACGACTTCAACAGAGCCGGCAACCTCGAATGTGAAGAATGGCTCAAAGTCCGCCAAGAGATCGACAAGGCCTACAAGTGGGGAACGGTCAAAACCCAAGAATACCGTCACACGGGCCTGCATCTACAAGTCTGTGAACGACAAGGTCAACGATGGGTTCAGCTGAGCCAGGACTTCTATGTGGAGACGATTCCCGACCTGGCCATAGATGACCACCGACTTCGAGGAGACCTTCAACAAGAAATGTCACCAGCAGAAATGGCAGCATGTCGCGCTTCACTTGGCGCCCTGCAGTGGGTTGCCACACAAACCCAATTGCAAATATGTGCCCGAGTGAACCTCCTGCTGACCGAGCTCACCGTCCTAAAAACCCTGCAGGTTGCAAAGGAAATTCGAGACCTCATCATTGAGGTGCGCAGGGAGCCTACAACATTGAGAATGTGGAGGCTGGACGATGTTGAGCATTGGCAGGAAATGACTGTGGTGACGCTGGCAGACCAAGCCCATGCAAATCGCCCCAAAGGCGATAGCACCGGCGGCCTCCTCACGTGTTTGGGAGGCAAAGCCCAAAACAAAGGAGAGCCTGGCAAGCTCAATGTGGTGGCATGGCGCACTTGGCGCCTACGCCGGAAAGCCATCTCGACAAATGATGGCGAAATCCAGTGTATCCTGGAGGGAGAAGACCATAACTACAGGACAAGATTGCTTTGGTGCCAGTTAAACGGATGCTGTGCACTACCTCCAGGAGATCAACTGGCACGAGCAAACTTCATGATGAAGTTCCTCAACGGCATTGTGGCCACTGACAGCAAAGGTGGCTTCGACGCTGTGACCCGCAGCGAGGGGCCAATGTTGGGCTTAAGCAACGCCCGAAGCGCCTTACAGGCATACCAACTCCGTGAACAACTCCAAGAGTCCCTTTGCCGACTCATATGGATTTCCGGAGATTGGAACCTGAGCGACGCCCTCACAAAGAAGCCCAAGGCAGCTCGCGAAGGACTCACCCAGTTTCTGAGAAGCTGTGTCTGGCGACTCAGATTCGACCCGCAGTTCATCCAGAGCGAGAAGAGGGCAAGGCAGCAAGGCAAAAGCGCAGTGGCCCAAATGAGAGAGCTTCAATGCTTGTGCCCTGGCTACCTCCCGGAAGACTTCGAGGGCATGACGACTGACGCCTTCGAGGAAGCTGAGGCAGCCTAAGCTCGCAAAGCCAAAGAAAACTTTGAGCTGATGCGATAGCGGTTTTTCCATGTTTGGCTTTCAAGCTCGCATGACATGTGCACCTGGCCTTTCAGGCCTTGAGCCTCCGGCTCGAACCTGTGAGAAAAGCTGCTCTGTGCGGCTACGCTCGTGTTCGCTTCGGCCACTTGGTGTGGCTTCCGCTCCGTCTTCGACCTCTTCGTGGTCTACGGTTGGTTTGGGTCTAGGGCACTCCTAAAGGCCCTACTTTGGCTACCGCAGAGGTGTAAGTTAACTAAGCGTTGTGTTGAAAGTAGCGGCTTGTAGGGTTCTGAGACATGACCGACTTTGATGACCGAGAGTCGAGTGTTGTGAATGTCTCTTTTTTCAATCCAATTGTAATTACATTTAATTCTACTGAAATTATACTAGCTTCTTGTTCCTAGCAGTAAGGCCCTTGCTCCTAGTAGCGATGCCCTTTGCTCCTAGTAGCGTCCTTTGCTCCTACAATTGCTCCCCTAATAGGTGAGAATCTATTTTACTTGGCAAGTGGTGGTTCATAGTGATGGTCAGGATTCACCACTCGACCATATTGTATTGAATATTTGCATAGCTATAGACTGATCTTGCGTACAATCTGCCGACTGATCGCTCATGTGGCACGGTACTTATATAGACTATAACTATAACAGGGTTCACATGAGTGTCTCGAGGCAAAAGATTTGAACGAGAAATCCTCGTCATGGCGCCCCAGTGGATCTCCAAGACGGCACATGGCCGGGCCTTAGATGAAGGCGCTCGGGGACCAAGTCACATATAGTAAGGTCTCTCTTGGACGGCGAAAAGCCTTTCTTCATCTTTATTCCTTTTCTTTTGTATTTGTTCCTATTAGCGGTGGCCTCCACCCTAGAGTAGCGATGGCCTCCAACATAGACGTAGTTTCCTAGAGAGTCATATAAAGAATTTGTTACATCTCCCTCGGCAGCACAACCTCCGGACGTCTTGCTATGTCTGGCTATCTCTCAAAATCAGGATGATATGTGATATAATATGCAAATAGCTGCAAACAGGATTCTACATTGTGCCACCAAGGAATCAAGGAACATACCGAAGAAACGTGCCGATCTGACAGGTGAGATGGAGATCAAAGCCTTGCGGATTTTCTACGGCTTAACAGAGCGAGATGATCCCCCTCAGCAGAAGCCGCTGTTGGTGGGCAGGATCGTGTGTGGATGGGTCCGGTTTGCCATTTCACGGGCACCAGAAAAAGGAGTTCTTGTGTTCTCAGTCCATCTCAGTCTGGCAGACTCCACTGGAAGCCTGACTTTAAACATCGTTGATCTATTGTCACTGAGTTCTCGGTTTTGCGCGAACCAGCTCCTCAGCACTCCTGCTACAAGCCTTTTGATCTTAGTGGTTCATTTCCAAAATTCAGATTGAAGTTAAATGATCGCTGAACAGCTCAAGTGTCTGATCCTCGCATTCACTTTGAGTTCTCCAAGCGCAGGACCACCAACATCGGTCAGTTGGCAGGCGCCTTGCTACGGCGCATCCAAGAGCTGGACGAGGCGGTGCTCCACGTAGCAGGCGCTGAGCGGACCATGGCCGCGCTCAAGGCAGTCATCACTGCGCAGCGACTCCTGGAAGCCGAGGAGTCTTTTGGGTTTCGTGGGTGAGAAGTGAAAGAACAGGGTGCTGGAGATTGACAAGCAGATGAACGCATGATATTGTGTAAAGTGGTTTGATGTGTCGCAATGTCAATGGAGAAGATAGGAGGAATACATGCACTGAGCACTACAAGACAAATGACACTGAAAACTGATGTTGGTTGTGGCAAAATCAGTTCAGCTTGGCGTTTGACGTTGTAGAAACTGCCCTCGTTGCAGCAGGACATCGAGACAAAGAAGCAGCTCTTGGTCTCCCCCAGCTGGCGAAGCGATGGGCCTCGCACTGCCTATTTGAGGCTTTTGTCGATAGCTGGAGGGGTTTTAAGTTGTCGACTAGCAAGGCAAGTCTATTCAGCCAAAGATTGTTTCACTGGAACAGGACGCTTGGTACCGTTTGAACTAGTGGAAGGTGGTTGGGCCACATGTGCCACTGCTTGTCTTGGTTTCGCTTGATGCAACGACTTCATATGTATATAGGCGTAATGTATGAGCAAGAGCTGATGTTGGGGATAATCCCATTTGCAAATGAAGGAATGTCACTCGCTTTGGAGGTTGCGCTGCTTCATCGCGCTGCAGGATGCAGAAGAGAGCTCGGCAAGCTCTGACGAGTAGAACGGTCCATTGCGTCAAAGCAGAAGACACCCGGAGCGAAGAAGATAGCAAAGGTGTTGCAAGTTTGACTCAATGGTGAATTTCCCTGAAATGCATATTGGATACCAAACACCTTGTGGCTTGAAGTGTATAGAATTCTCAAGGGAATGACAAGAACATATGGGATCTGTGGTTCCTGTTTCACCTTCGACCTTGCCACACCTTGCGTTATTTGACACCAACTTGCCCCAGTCTCACAAGTTCATGGCATTGATCCAGTGACGAAGATTTTTTGTCTTGGCACTACAACATGCCAAAGTCCCAACAGAAATGTTGTTCCTTTTGAATCTCCCCAAGTTATTATCGGACTATTTTGTGAATCGTCTCTTTGCGACAAGAGATGTGTGGATCTGGGTGACTTTTGCCTGTGCATCGCAGAGCCTGCGAGGTTCAATGTGAGCTTGCAAAGTGAAAAAGGCAGTTTGATCCAGCTTTTCGAGTTCTTTTAAGAAGGAGTGGGGGGTGCACCCAGGTTGTTCTATTGGCTCCTACCATTTGAAGTTACGGGATGGAACAAGACAGTTCATTCGTGGTTCGGTACTTGTTCCATCGTGGTACAGAGTTAGTTGTAGTGAAAGACCCTTCGTATGTCTTTGGTTCTCTTATTTGATCCATCGGTCAACTATCATTGACAGAACAGGTGAAAGCAGCCATTACCATCGACGAGCGGTTCCGCATGGACTTTCGCCGCTGGGCCAAGAGGCTCGGAAAAGCAAAGGATAAACTCCCATTTGAGGGGGCGGATGGTCGTTTGGTGAATTTTAGCAAAAGTCATGATTGTCTCAAACCGACCAATTTTGGCGCCCTGTTTATCCAAGTAAGCAATGTGGACATGTACTTATCCGAAAGCTATGCTGTAAGAACTAGGCATGATGCATTGCTGCAGAGTTTTCCTAAGCAGTTTGAGCATATTGTGCCTCTACGTCCACCCGGTACCTCTGGACCTATGTGTATCGCCACGCAGGGAACCGGCGCCTACGGGTCGAAGCCTTTTAACGGCTCACTTCGTCAAGAGAGAAGTGGAACCAGAGCCTCCAGCTGCAGTGTTTGCTGTGTCTGGGGCTGCAAAGCCAGAGATGAAGGATGAAGAGGCGCCAGCAGAGGCAAGGTGCACCTGTAAGTCAGGGAAAGATAGGAATTGTGCGGCTTTGAGGTGTGATTTCAAGAGTTGTCATCTACTCAGGTTGCTGTTGTTTCGTTTTGGACAGAAGATACTTCTGTGGAAAGAGGGTTCACCGAGGGAAACAGACACACCTGCAGTGCTTCTGTTCTTCTGTTCTATGTTCTTCAGATTTCACCAGGTAGGATGGAGCCAATCATCAAGTCAAAGGAGTTTGCGTCTTGCAAATCAGTGTCGAGAGATGTCCAGACTATGTATCCAGAACATCGCAGATCAGGTTTGCATTGGACTACTGTTTATTGGCAATCCTGGTTGTGTCTGAAATCCTTTATTGAAACAAACTGCGCAGTGCGCAGCTTCTTTTTTTTGAGGAAACGATCTGGGGTTGAACCACAAATCAACTGCGGGAAAATTGAAGACCTCCAGCCACAGCTTCGCGAGTCTGCAGGCAGAACCGAAAAGGAAAGCTCGCCGCAAGGACAAATCTAATTATCAGGCGAAGAAATTCGTAGGTTGATATGCGCTGACTTGTCGATAAATGTGTATCCGCTGCAGGTCTAACATCACTACAAATGTTTGGCTGCACATCATCCTTGGGTCTTGAAGCCGCTAGCAAGTCTACCTGGACATTCCATGCAAACATCTACGAGTGAATGTTTCGTGATCACCAATGAGCTGCATGGTTTTGTGGCTCGAGAATCTTGCATTTGATGTGCTCAAGTGGGTCAGCAGCTGCAGGAGACACAAGGAAAGCGAAAGAGAGAGGCCAACTCAGAGGTCGCTACTAGTGGATTTCCTGTATTTGAGCAATTCGGCTATTCTCAACCCTAAATGGCATGGCGTGGCAGTCATGCCCACGGTTTCTTAGGATCTTCATGAAGAAGCGATTGCGTGTTTCCGCGGATACCTGATGCATGTGGTCCTGCTGGCTTTCCGCGGCTCACAGCTTTTAGATATTTTGAGCTTTAGAAAGGTATGCTGCTGCCTCAGCAGCTACACACGATGACGCTGAGCGAATGTAATCCGCTCACGAGCTACGTTGATGGAGCCTCAGCTGCAGGAATGGGTTATTATAAGAGCTGTGCATGGTTTCCTTTTTGGGTTTCCTTTTTGACATGTTTTAACTTGTTGTCCCAATATCCCAGCCTCTATATGGAGATACAGATGGATTGTTGGAGTTTTGGTGGAGCAGGTATAAGGTATTGGGCAAAGGGAGGTGCAGGTGCTACTTTGCAATCGAATCTAGCTTTACTTTTTCTTATGCCCTCTTGGAGGGTAGACAGGGCTGACGCGTAAAGTGACGCTTGTATACTTTTAGTGTTGGCTCAGACCCCATTCATTTTCTGCGATGATGCTTACAATTTACGTGTCTAAAGAAACAGAGCCTTTCCATGGCATTGAAGGACTGACACGCATCATCGACAACCTGGAGGGCTTGAAAGACTTGAAATTGAAGATGGACTTGCAGAATGTGCTGTACAGGTACTTTGCGGACAGCGCCCGGCATTTCAAGAAAATTGAGCATTGTCTTCGCTCCGGAGAAGCAGAGTTGCTTGTTATTCGGGATGGCAACAACCCCAACCTCAGAGACTTGAATGAAGCCTCGGAGGACTTTGAAGGGGCAATGAAGGCATTTGCTGAATGGAAGGCTGAAGAGCGAAGAAAGGTTGAGAAAATGCTGCACAAGATTATGTGTAAGAGGGGAGCTGTCTTGTACGCGGGTGTTGTGACTCTCTTTCTTGCTGCTGATGCTCTGCGCACGTACCGCTCCAAAACTGATTGGGTACTGGCAGCTTTGCCTACCTTGATCAGAATTGCTTTTGCACTTGGAGTGGCTGGAGCCGCAGCTGTCAGCCGTCGTCATGCCTACAGGCAGTGGAAAGAACATGCAAATCTCATGGCATCCTGGGAGACGTCAGCAGACCATGAAACGCAGGTGTTAGATTGGATGTCATCCTTGACTTTTACTTTCCACAGAATGTCTTTAACAGAGACTTTGCAGAAGACACAAGACATCCTTTCAACGATGAACCGTTTTTTTGCAGCAGCTGCAGACTAAAGGCTTGATCTTCGACCAAGCTGATTGGCAAAGCCCATGACCATCAGAAGCTTTGTTGCCTTGGCTGGCATGCCTCTTTGACAGCGGCATTTGGGCAGACTGAGAGTAGGCAGTCGCAGATTGGGCAGAAAGCCGTGGCAGCTGATCTGAGAGTTGTACAGGTGTATTTGCATGGGCCTATAGATGATGGCGCATTGCATCTGACTCCTGTTTCAAGCAGTGGGGCGCAGACATTAGCCAGAACAACTTGAAATAGACATTGTATGTTCATGGGCTGTTGGCAAAAGCTGGTGTTTTGCTCAGACAACTTTGTTGTTCGATTCGCGCCTTGAAGGGGTCTGTTCAAAACTTCGCTTAACTTGCAAAGGTGGGAAAGACGTTTCCACTGTAAACTGTGCAGTCTACCTGTAGGATGATGTTTATATGCTTTATATAACTAGGCAAGGTGGTCCCAAACGGGCACAGTGTGTCCATGCCAATCGGCCACTGCTTGCGCCGAGACACTTTGCTTGCCAAGGGGTATAGTATGCCGAGATGTTCGGAGTGCGGCGCCAAACCATGAAGCGCCTGCGGTGCCGACGACTGCAGATGTGAAAAGAAGTTGCGCGCGGATTTCACAATGCACACAAGGTGGCAGAAACCAATAGGTTTTATGGTTTTGCATGATATTCATGGCAGTCATGGTCCAATCCCGTGCAACTTGTCCTTCTAAACTTGTAGTTATACTTGTATGAGGGCACTTCTGCTTTAAGGCAACTTCTGGGCGTGAGTTTGTCTTCTGAAGTTGACCGAGTGCTCTCAGCTCAAGTCCAGAAGGAAACAGAAGGCAGGGCTTCACGAATGGCACTTCAGTTGCCGGCCCATTTACTGGCTTCTCGGCAGGAGCCTTTGAATGTAGAAGATCCGAACATCCCACGGCTCTTGGTTGCCTTTCACAAATCACACGTGGAAGTGTTGAAGCCTGGCTCTGAGATTCCGCCAGAGCTTGTACTCCGGATGAAGATGCTGGCAAATCAGGAATTCCGCATCTTTCACGAGTGCAAGAACTTCACAAAAGCTTGTGAGGAGATCGTTGCAGCTTGCAACATATCTGAGGTTCTGCCTGAACATGAGCTTTCAGGAATGCTGGCCGAGGTGATGGACTACCATTCTGACTTGGAAGAACTTCACCAACAGAGGAAGGACAACATCAACCTACTCTTGCAATGGGACAAGGATAATTTGGAGAAGTTTCGGCAAGCGCATTGGCATGTGGAGTTGGAGAGGGGCACCGTTGGCTTTGCCACTAGAATTGGACCCCTTGGTGTCATAGCAGGTGTAGGGCTTGCAGGTTGCCCGATCGCTGCTTGGTCCGTAGCAACAGCTGCCCTACTGGGGTTGTCCTGCAAAGTGGCAGGAGATTATCATCGGGAAGCTGCGGAAAAGGTGGCGACGGCGTTGGCAAAAGACATGCAAGCAAAGAATGTGCCGATCCAGCCCCTCGGCAAAAGAGAGAAAACCTAGCTGTATTGTATTGAGGCTGCGCGCACCGAATCACTGGATCCAGCATCTCCAATTCTGTCTCTCGTGAGCCCTTTTCACAACATGTGTTCATTCCCCTGAGTGATGCCAAACTGGCAGTGGCTGGGTTGCTGGGCCCAGGTATCTTGAGACTGTGGCCAAGAATATCGATGATGCAATTGATCGCTTGGGCACAGACACTCTAAAGATTCGAGGCCGTTCAGCCCAGATCCGGCGACGGATGGACATGATTGTGGAGGAGGTTCGAGGAGTCCAGATGAATCCTGGCCGCGGTTTTGCTTGCTCGTTTGGAATAGCTATCTTTACGACTTCTAGCAATGACATGGCAGCCAAAAAGATTGGGTGACTTTGACGGGCTTCACGGTGTCACGTGTAGTTTATTGTTCCTTTTTGGTGAGTAAGGACTGCCTGCCAAAACTTTGTTGCCTTGGCTGGGGATGCCACATTGGTAGCAGCATTTGGATTGACTGAGAGTAGAAGGTTGCAGATAGTGCGGGAAGCCCTTGCAACTGACCTGGCTGATGTCCAGATGCTGCCTGCAGGCATGGCCCCATAGGTATGTGTAGATTGATGCATTGCATGTGCATCCTGCTATTGGCGGTGCAGTACAGGCATT